ATGAAGAATAAAATACCTAAACCTTAAATTAAAATTTTTAGGCTAATAGAACACCAATTTGGCTAAACTTTTGTTGCTTCTTATATGAAAAATTTAGAGGAAAACTATTGTTAGTTTTTATATGAAAATTTAGAAGAAAAAAATAGTTGATACTTGAATATTAGTCAACTTACTTCAAGAACTAAGACAAAAGTAAAAAAAAGATTGAATAATTGGCTAACAAAGACATGACAATAAAATTAAAATCTATGTCAAAAAGTAAAAATTGACCTTCCTTCACCTAGATTCATTATTATTCAACATGTTTGATTTGTGATCTTTGAGGATAGGGAGAAAGGTCAAACAATTGACTCATTTAATTCACATTTTAATAATTTAAAATTTTTTTAAATTAATTAATTGAATTTTTTTTATTAAATATTTAGAGAACATTCTAAAATTTTTGCAAAAATAAATATATATTTTTCAACTTTATACAAGATATGTAATTACCACCTTGCAAAATTACATAAATATGTATTGTTTTCAAAATTTATTAATTTAAATGATTTATTGAAAACAATTCAAAGTACAAGATTATTGGCTAATTTAATTAATTCAATTTTAAAAGGTAAATCAAAGGAGAAACTACACTTACCCAAGTGACTTGGAGTGGATGCACTACTTAATTCTTAAAATACTAAAAATGTGCACAAAACTCACTTATAGTTTGAAAATTTGCATTTAATCTCCTAAATTATGAAAATGTGCTTATAACCTCTATGGTTTGCAAAATGTGCACTTCACCCCCCCCCCAAAGTTTATTAATATTGAAGGTAAAATCTCAAAAGCATTTAATGGTGAAGTGCACATTTTTCAAACTACAATGAAATCAAGAACACATTTTCTTACTTGGATTAACTTCGCATTGCACCTTTTTTTTGTTGATTTGGGAGGTTAAGTGAACCTACCCCAAACTACAAGAGGTGTACATGCAATATGTCCTAAATCAAATGCAAACTTAAGAGCAATGGAGGTTTCATCCGTTATCATTCTATGGTTAATATGCTACAAGCTAGTATACCATCAATCATTATGGTCTCTTCTCCATGCATTTGCAAGTTTGTTTGTTGTGGATGTCTCTTTATTGTGGTTTTTCTTTTCTTTTCTTTTTGAAAAGCTTTTCATAGTGGGGTTTGTTTTTGTTGATTGGTTTTAATATTAGAGAGCCTTAGTTTTGATGGTTGCTTTTATATAGCTTGGGGTCTTAGGAGTTGGTTGTTTTGATTTTTTGTGATTACTTCGCTAGTTTCTTTAGTAGGTTTTGCTTTTGGAGTGTTTTTATTGGGTTTGATGTGATATCATTTCCTTTAGGGAGTTTGGTAGGTTTTCCTAAGACTTCAATCTTTTTTTAGCAAACCTTACTTGATGATTTGCTAAACAAAGGGTGTAATATTCCAAATTTTCTGAAATTCAAGCATTTAAGTTAAGGACCTTTGTGTGAGAAAATATTATTTTGGGGCTTATTAGCTAAAATATCCAAATTGAGGGACTTAAAAGAGAAAATGAATTGGATAAGGATCAGCTATTTTTTTTCCCTTCTTTCTTTCTTCTTCAGCCCGCGTGTTCTGCTCTTCTTCTTCTTCCCTGCAGCCGGCAAGAAAACCCAGCCAAGCCGACAGCCTTCCCTTTGAAAAACCGGTAAAAGCTTGGGGATTTCTCCTTCTTTTCTTGTTCTAGAACACATAAAGAACCTAGAAACCTTCCCCTCTCTGCAGAATTTTCGGATCTGCTCTGCTCGGTTCCCTCCGTCTGCTGTTCTTGCCGGTGATTGGGTGTGGATTTTCCAAATTTTCGGTAAGCAACAGCCATTAAGTTCTCTGTTTTTCCTTGAATTGGCTTGGATTAACTTTGATTTCTCTTGGTTTCTCCAATTTTTGGGATAGATCCCGAATTTCTCCCCAAATTGCCGCCAACCTTCCCTTAGCTTGCAGCTCCGGTTCTGTTGGCTAGAATTCTGGTATGGACAGCTCCTCCAAGTTAAATTTATCAATTAATTGCTGCTTGTTTTGTTGAATTTATCCATGTAGTGGCTGCCCTTGTGTTGTCCGAAAATTCTGTTGAAATTGGGAGAATTTCGGCAGCCTTAGAATGGGTTTTGGTTGATGGTTTATGTAGGAAAATTTGTGAGTTGGCTGCTGTGATTTTGGAGGAAAATTCCGTGTGTTTTAGCCCCTGTTTTTGCCCAAGCCGTGCTCTTCCCTTCTGTCGTGAGAATTGGAGAATTTTGTATGGGTGATTTTGCATATATATAACCTGATTGTAGTGTTCAATTTTGGAGAAAAAGATAAATAAATCTCTTGACTTCTTGTGTTGCCAAGCCTTGTTTCCCCATTGTTTTATTCGTGAGATTGGGAAACCATTTATATATGTATTTGTGTATATAAATATATATACACAATCTGGCCAATGAAATTGCTTATAGAATTAATTCTTGAATATTTGGTTAGGTTTCTGATCGTTCTGTCAGTTTAGCACTGAGATCGAGTCCTCGGTTTTATGCGAGTGAGGTAAATAAATTTATGGTAATGCCCGTACAGTTTTTGAAAGCATGTTTTGACTTGTTTTTGAAGTGGTGGCAGAACTAAACCCGTTTTCTACAAAAGTAAGTATGACTGATTTGAAGTGAAATTTTTATGCTTTTCCTTAAATTGAGCATGCTTACTTGAAATTTAATTGATTGTTCCGATGATTTGAAAGTGATTGGTGAATTATGATTTTTCTGTTAACTTTTGCTTGTTTTGTCTCTGATATGGTCATGTTATTCGTGTGCCGCTAGGGGGAGGTTTATAAACACTAGTACATGTCAACATGTTATTGATAGAACCAGTTCGTTCGAGTGGCCTTGCTAGTGGGGGTTATACACCAGCAAATAGTGTAGCCTGTCAGTGGGAGGTTTATAACACTGGCCATGACCTATAGAGGAGACGTCTATTTCGTTCTCGTACTGTATCTGTTTTTCGTGATTACAGTTGTTGGAATGCTATAAGTTTAATAAGGGGCACTCCATATTTTATTTACTGAGTTTATCTCATAGTTTTCCTTGTCCACCATTTCAGGAAGCAAAGTCAAGGACGGGAAAAAACAAGGGGAGTGACAAGTTAGAAGGCTAGCCATTTTGTAAATTTGATATAAATTTTAGATATAAATCATGATCTTATAAGCTAGATTTTAATTGGAGATTTTATAAATTCATTGAATGGATTGTTAGTTTACAAGAGATTTGACCTTGAGATTTTGAGCTTAAGTCATGTTGGACATGGAATTATTTTGAAATATCTGATTTAATTTATTGGATTGTCAGATGTGAATTGGATAAGTTCCGAGTTTTGTGCATTTGTGGGACCTTTTCACAAGTGTACGGCGTCTGTCATGTCCCCGGATTTGGGTTCTGGGGCGTGACAAAGGATGTAATGATGTTGAGGGGGATCAAGGAGGAAGAAAAGGAAGGAGTTTTTTTAATGTAAGTATGATTATAAATAAGCTTGAGTTCAAGCTCAAATCTAAGCTCAAAAAATTGAGTCAAGTCAAATGGCTCGACTCAACTCGATTTGACTCAATTGTATTAAAATAACTATATATATCAAGTATTTAAATTTAAATTAAATTTGAGTAATTAATCAAGGTCACAAGTCAAGTTCAAATTCATGGGTTAAGTTCATGAGTTAAGTTCATCTTTACAAGTCAAATTTGAGTTCAGTATATTTAAACTCAATAATAGCTCAAACTTGACTTGACTCAATACTATAGCATCAAGCTTGAGTTTGAGTGCTAAGGAACTTGACTTGACTCAACTCTTTACAACCCCAAACATGGGGCCAAAAAAGAGGGAGTGAGTGTCAATGGTATGTTAGTACATGGTAAAAGGATGGCTCTACTAGTTAAGATAAAGGTGTTTTTTTCATTCTACATGTTAAAATGAGATTGACCTCAATCCTAGTTAAAGTCATGTTAACATTAGGTCATTATAAGGGTGGATTCTTGTAATGATAGTTTTCTTTTCAATTAAGCAAGGAAGGTGATCATTCATTATTGTTTATTTAATTTTCAATCGCCTCTTTTCTATTATTCTAGGTAAATTATGCTTGTAACTGTATTATAAAATTATAATCAAGACCAACTATAATTTTATGTGGATAATAGGTTGCTTAACTTTTCATATTTATAAGTGTTATTTTTTGGATTGTTTGACTTTTGATTCTTCAATGTCCATAATGGTTGATCCTATAACTTTAGGGTTTCAATATTTGAATGCAAGGGATAAATCAAATAATTAAGATGAAATCATTAATATTTTAAAGGAGTGGGGTGGATAAAAAAACTAAGGTGTAAAACATAATTCAAATAATTTGTTTATAGTATATTTTATTTTTTGTAGGTTATAATATGTATTCTCTAACTTAGCAAAGTTGATATTTACTAATTACAACATACATTTAGAGCTAATTATAAGTAAATATCTAATTGGTTAGAACATGAGACTTTAAATTGATGTCTAAAATTCAATCCTATATACATGGGGCGAGATAGGGGAGAGACATCTCTTATTATAAAATTAACTTTAAATGTAACAAATATATATATTCAAAATTAATTTTACTATTCAAATCTTTTTCTTAAGTATTAGCTTTTATCACCATCAACTCACACTTATTAAAAATAAATTTGAAATGACATTACATTCTTTTCAATTATTATTATTATTTATCATAATGCTATTTTTCAATTCACCCTTCACTTTAAAACTAGGAATGATAAAAAGACACATTATTAATGAATCTTTATGCATCCTCAACCCATTATAGATATTTTTTCTTTTTCAACCTAGACTAATTTTTTCAGTGTATAATGGATTATAAAAAAAAAAAAAACACTTTTTTGACTATTTAAACAAAAAATATCATTATTAAATTTGTTGTGCTGTTGATAAGTTTAGATTATGCTATCAATCTATTAATTTGTTGCTCTACTAATAAGTTTATTGTTAACAAATTGTTGACATCACCTAACATTACACGTTAAATTTTTAAGTGATTTATCCAAATTGAAAAGTTTGTAGGTGGATTTATCTCCATTTTTTTTCATGATGGATCAATTCCTACTACCTAACTTTGGCAATGAATTGGGCATTCTGCTTAGACATAAAACATATCTTGTATAAACAAGTGATGCTAAACTTAAAAGCAAATAATAATAATAGAAAGTAGAAGAAAAAGTAAATTTGTCCCCATTTTTATTTAGGGATAGATTCATCCCTACTACCTAACTTTGAAAGTAGATTTGGGTATTTTACCTAAACATAAAATACATTCTATATAAACAAGTAATGCTAAACTCAAAACTAATAATAAGAAGAATAAGAAGAAAAAAAATATTAAAACATGATGAATATGGCTTGTTGAAGAAAGTATCTCTATAAACTTTATTAATTCAACAAAACAAAAGTTGATTTTATAATTATTGATCCTAAAAGAATAGAAAGACTTCAAAAGTTCATATCCCTTTCTCCATAACATCATTATTTAACTTTATCATACATGCTTAAAAAAAGATCTTAAGTTTTTTTTCGAAAAAAAAAAATATCCAATTTGAGAAAAAACTATATTAAAAAACCATATTCAACTATAGGTTGTTGATGCACGCTTCTCATGTTGCCAATATCATCAATACCAATAATAGTCATCCCTCTTTTTCTCACTAAATGCAAGAGGAACATAGTCACTAGCCTTTGTTTTCTTGGCCTTTTCCTTTGTATTAAATTGTCTCATTGATGATCGCTTTTTCCTTTTTGCAGAGGATTTTGCTTTTGTTGTTTTAATCTTCTCCACTTGTTCTTTTTCCCTAGAAAATTTTAAACATGCATCAAAAATATGTATCAAGGAATTTAGTTGTTTTATAATTAAATTGTAAATAACTTGTTTGTCCATTAATCATTGGTTAAGTAATAAAGTGACAAGTTGAGATCCTAAAAAGCTCTTAAACTTGGTTTGTCCATTTTCATTACAAATGCATGCTAGATGGAATATATGTAAAAGATGAATATAAAAACTAGTGGTCTTAATTACTTACTTAGTCTCTTTAAGGGCAAGGTATTCACAGGCTAAGTGAGGAGAAGCGACAATCTTCATCATTTCTTCCTTAGTCAACTCCTCATAACTTTCTTCATCATACATTATCTACAAAAGTAAAATATTATCAAAGTAAAAACAATAATATCAATATGTATTATCTATTATTATATCAAGAACCATTTAATCTATTCAAATAACAAAGAGATCAAGATATGTTTTTTTATCTTGAATGTGCAAACCTTGTAAAGTTTAGTAACCTCGTCATAAGCTTGGACTTTTCCCAAGTAACCCAACCTATCATTAATCTCTTTGTACACCAAAACACCTACCCATTTTCTAGCTTCATAAGCCATTATCCTTTTGTGCTCCTGAAAGAGTACCAAAAACTTCCAAAATGACTATGCCAATATTTATCTCATCTAATAAGTAAACTTACATCAACATCATTATTTACCATTGCTTCGAGAGAAATAATGAATTTTTGTCTTTTGTTCTTTTCGAGTAGTTCATTAGGATTGTCAGTTGGTAATTGTAAAGGCTCTGGAACGCTTCTCGATTCAAATTGAGCAATATCTTCCAAACCCAAGACTTTTGAGTGGTCTTCTTCCTTATCTGAAAACACCACAATACTCAATTACAAATTATGAGATCATAAATATTGCATATGGTGAAATAAAAGAAAAGGCCTTATTAATGTTATTGAAAAGTAACAATCTTGATTAATCTTTTATACAAAACAATAGAAGATGACACATCCAAACAATAGATATGTGTTGTTAATTAATCTTTTCCTCTTTCCAAACCTCAAACATAATTTAGAATTACAATTTCTAATTCTCCAAATAGAAATATAAATTTCCTCATATATTATTTATTAACTAATTACAAATTATAAATTATAAAAAATATTTAACAACATTTAGGTATATTAACTATACAATTCAAACACTAACATCTTTGTTTTTTTAGTTAATTTTACCTATATATATTGTTTTTATTATCAATTAATTATTTGATAAACTCCAAATTAACAAATTTCAGTAAGACATGTCACTCTTAATTTATTTATCAATTCTGTAATTCCATTATATGTATAACATGATAATTGTTAAGTCTACTTTGAAAACTTAAAGATTTAAAATTTTATACTTTTTTTTAATTTAATAATTTACATATACCATCAAATACTTACATTATACATCCACAATGCATCTTAACCACACAGGCGTTATATTATATATCTATAATGTATCTTACCCCATGAACATTATGTCATACATTATGTTTATAACGTATCTTATGCACATTACATTTTTATACATCTATATTTTCTCTTTTTTATGGGTGATCTACATTTTTTAAATCTATAACTTAATTGATGTTATTACTAATAATCATTTGCAAATATGTCAACTATTTATAACTTTTCATATTCCGTTGTGCTTTGGAGAGCAAACTACTCTGCTAAACTCGGTACTTTCTACACTTCTTATATTTTACATATCTCTTTTTAGGATTCCTGGTTGTGTTATTCTTCAATTGTAAAAAATCCTGAGATTTTTTTGGAAAGTGGTGGAGGGCACAAAAAAGATTACATAGATGAGTTAGGAAGATATTTGTTGTAGAAAGGAGTTAGGTGGGTTGGGAGTTGTGGATTCGGTTAAAAGAAATGTTGTGTTGCTTGGAAAATCATGGTATAAGTTAGGGGATGAGTCAATGGGTCTTTGGAAAAGGTCAATTGGATGAAATATTATGGAGAGAGGAGGAAGGTGGATATTTCTTCTGTTGATACATATAACATGGTGAGAGTTTAGAGAGATTATTGTTATTGGTAGAAGTTTAGCCGGTTTGTAAGGTACACTAATTAATGGTTTTAATTGGGTGGTGGGTAAGGAGGAAAGAATTCTATTTTGGTTGGAGAAATGAGTTGGGACTAGGTTATTAAGAGATGTGTTTCCTAGGTTATTTGCTTTGTCATATTTAAAAGAGGAGAAGGTGCGAGAGATGGGTGAGTGGGAGGGAGGTGTATGGAGGAGGAAATAGATAGGTAGAGAGGTGAGTGAAGAAGTAGAGTTGATGAGGATGCTGGAAAATGTAAAGTCAAAAGTGGGAGAGGTAGATATGTGGAGGTGGAAGCATGATGCAAGGAGACTTTATTTACTAAACTAAAAGCATATAGGATGATATCTTCTGAGGTGTGTTTAGTAGATAAACATTTGTGTAAATTGATTTGGTGTAAAAATATATTATTGAAGGTAAGAATATTTGGGTTGAGACTTTTTTGCAATAGATTGGCTACAAATGAAAATTTGGTTAAGCTGGAGGTTGTGTTACATAATGGAAATATGGGTTGTATGTTGTGTAATTTGCAGAAGAAGGTAGTTAATCATTTATTTTATTTGTAAATAAAGTTGGTTGGTTTGAATGAAAATTAATTTTGAATTTGTGAGGAGTGGCAAGGGTGCTACCAAGTACTATAGGTAAGATGATTTTTTACATTTCTCATGTAGGAGTGTGGGTGTGATGGGGATAAGGGATTTTACCTTTTTTAGTGGTGGCATGATATATCCAGAGTTGGAGGAATAAAAAAATTTTTAAGGGTGAGATGGAATTGGGGATAAACATTGATGTTAATTTAATGAAAAACTTTTGATTGGATTAAGGTTAAAAATACCAAAATGTGCTTTTAGTATTCAAGAGCAGTGTTCCTAGCCAATTAGGTGTGTTCAAAATTTAGTGCAACATAGAAAGGCTTCGAAAATTTATCATGCAATTACAAAGATCTAGTGATTTTGTAAGGATGTGTTTTTTAATAGGTTGGATTCAGCATGTTGTATTGATTTAAGGAGTGCCCCATGTACTCAATATATAATAAAATACAATTTATTGGCTAATAAAAAAATAAACTTATAAATTTTCATTCTCCTTTTCACTCACAAAATTGATTTAAATCTTATCATAATATATACACCAAAAACCTTAATTTATATTTTTTTCATCAAACAATAACTCAACTAGATATATAATGATGTATGATGAAAAAATAAAGCTTTATGAAAATGCAAAAGTGCATCAATTTTAAAATATTGGATTTTACACACAATTTTAAGTTTAATCATTTGACTATATCAATGTCACATATTGTACGCCACACATCTATCATTTATCTTACGACATATATCTTGCGTCATATATTTATACCTATAATATATTTTACTTCTAGCATGTGTTTAATATACCTATATATGTGTGATCTACACAAAATCTATAAATTAATTAATGTTTTATCTTCCTAACAATGATTTTATATATATCAACTACATATAATTTTTTAGCCTCACTCATAAATTAAATTAAACCTTGTCATAATATATTTCAAGAAACTTGATTTATATATTATTTATTAAACAATAGATCAACTAGATCTATTATAATGTTTGATGAAAATAAAACCTATTGAAAATGTAAAAGTGAATCAAGATCTCACCTCTATGCCCACTTGAGAATTTCATTGAATCATTCATTTTTGGATGAAAAATCCTTATAGATCCCTACCAAATAGTATCATAAAAGCAAAAAAAAAAAAAAAAGTGAGAAAAGAAAATTAAACAGGAATTAGAGAGAAAGATAAAAGCAATAATATTTGTTGATTATAAGAAAATTACAGAAAATGAGATTGCAAGAAAAGACTTCTTTAGTTGAGAAAGAATTAGAGGTTAGGTTGATTGATGGTATATGAAAAATTGATGAATAAATAACACTTGTACTTAATATTTTGGAAATACAAAATTTACTTCCTTGTATGATTGTGTGTTGAGTAGGAAATTTTAAAGCATATGGGACCCACTTTTAGACACAATATTAGCTGGAAACTTATGTGCCACATATGGCAGCTTTTTTTCATTTGAATTTCAAATTTTCATAATATTATTTGTTGAATATAAAATATATAAATTTTCCTTAATATTTGAAAATAATTAAGACTAATGTAAAATAATTTACAAAAGAATTTTTTAATAAAAAATGATAATTTTATTTAACAGTTAACCATTAAAATTTCAAAAGAATTAAATAATATTTTGAGAATCTTGAGTAGTAGCTAAACATTAAAAATAAATAAATTTTGTACATATAAATTAATAAATTGTTTGAATTTAGCTCTTCACTCATTTAGTTTTATAAACATTGAAAATAAAAGTTCATTGGCAACATTAATTTGGAAAATGCAAATAACCTAAGCGGCCTAGTAATAATCTCTCCTTCAAGTAATAGATTTTAGATTCAAATCAAAGCTTGTGAGTAAGGTGAGTAAAAGGATGGGAAGAGTTGTTTCCTATCATACAACTCAGAATAATAATAATAATAATAATAATTTGGAAGGATGAATTGCAAAAGGAAAATGACAGGAGGAAAATAACTAGGATACCTTATAATTCGACACACAAGCTGACACCCAATTTGTTTAATTATTAAAATATAATATAAGTACAGTCGATTCAACTGATTCTATCATATTACACGCATAATTATATTTTTAAGTATTTTTATTTTTAATTCTAGATAAAAAAATAATTTGTTAATAAGTTGTAGAATATATTAAACTGAAGAGTATCTGTATTAGTGTGTCAATGTCCATCACAAAAATCATTGCAACAAATAATTTATTTTAAAAAAGGAAGTCTCAAAATTTTCTACCATAAAAATCATATTTCCAAATTAGAATTTTAAGAAATTAAATTGAAAATCTCATCATTAAGGAACTATAAAAAAAAAAAACATACACGGGCTCTTAAAAATCAAAAGGAAGAGAGAATGAAAAGAGAGAGAGAAATAAACTCGTTTGCTTTTCTTATTTTTCTTTTTTTTTTTTTTATGGAAGTTTGTTTACATTTTTTATTTATTCATTTGAAATAAAATATGGGATTAGTGGATATTAGTTTGTATTGTAAAAATTAGGTGAAAAATTACCTAAAAATTGTGTCATTTTAATAAAACATCATGAGAAAAAAACTAAAATAGTTTCATTCCTACTTTAAAAATTATGATATTTTAGTTTTTTTAATGAGATTTTATTAAAATAACATAATTTCATAGTATTTTTTCTTTATTTTTTACAATACAAGTTGATACTCACTTCTTTGACAAAATATATTTAAACCAATTATTTGCCAAGTAATGCAGCATTAATTTTTTGGAAAAAGAAAAAGAAAAAGAAAAAGAAACTATAAAATGGCTTTTTTTTCTAGTAGAATTTACCATAGAACCATATAGGTATGCATGTACATTTTCTAACAATTCAATTAATTACAAATGAATTTCAAACTCTTTTTAAGAGTTTATTTATACGAAATAGAGTCTAAGGAAAGATAATTGTAAGTTATGTGATATTAAAAAAGACTTTTAAGAAAAAAATCTAAGTTGTAGCTTTACAGTAAAATGGATAAAACAATGCATAAAGAGAGAATTTTAAGTAATGTGATATATAGTCACAAATTTTTCTCATGTAACATGTGACATTTAGTGGAGTTTTAGTAGTTGAAGTGATTTTATCACTAATATATAAAAAAAAGGTTTTACATTCTCATGAAAATAGTTTGAACTTATGTTCCATCTTCTCTCATAGGTTTAAACCACTTTTTCTAATACATTAAAAGAACATGTGATATTTAATGAGTAATGATAGATAACTTTACAAGTTACAAGTCCAACAAGGTGAAACAATAAAATAAGTTCACAATAAGATAAAACTTAACAACTCCAAGTAAAAAATAAATAAATAAAAACTCAAGAAAGTTGTTTGAATGGCTTCTAGGTTTTAGGGGAGGGGTAAATTAGATTTTTCAAAAATTTTTTGATCATTTTCAAAACTTGATGCAGTAAAATAACCCTAGTAAGTGTACTAGTCGTTTTAAGTAATATGATAGTGAAAAAAGTGTTGAACCCACGAGAATTGTGTTTAATTAAGTACTAAAATAATTAATGTAAATTTATTTGAACAATCGAAAAGAAAGAAACTTTAATTAAAAATAATAAAAAGAAACTAACAATTAAAATAAAACTAACCAAAATATGAGGTATTAAGGCATTGATTTCACCGTAATCAATCAATATAAATTATGAATTAATATACTTTGAAAACCAATTTGTTGAGTGTTATTGCATGTAATGGCGGATTTCCCTAAATTAACTAACTAGCTTTCTCAAGTCAAATTAATCATTTACTTGTTTGTTAAATTAATCATATCTTTATACAATTTTAAATAAACTAATGAGTATTAAATTCTATAGAAACCTATAACTTAAGAAGAGGGAACTCTTAACTTCTTCTCTTTCTTTACTATTACATGTGAGCTAATTACCTCTCAATCTCATAATCTAACACATAATTTATATTATTATTGGTCTAATTTATGAAATTATTTCTCAAGTTTATATATAAATCACTAAATCAATCAAAAGATGATTAGACTTTTAATGCATTAAGTTCAAAAATATAAATTCATCATGCGAATAATTTTAATTGAAAGTATAAAATCACAAAATTTATATTGAATTGATTAGGCTACATCGTAGCCCTAGTAGAATAAATTAGTTCATAATAAAAATAATAAAACCTAAAAGGGAAATGATTGATACACCCTCCGGTTCAACACTCTCCAGTTTAGTCATTAAAAATATAATATAAATACAGTTAATTCAATCAGTTATTGTATTCTGTGTGCATGATTGTATCATTATACTTGTCTGTTTTTAATTTCAGATTAAAAATAGTCATTTTTTAATAACTAAACCGAAAGATGTTGAACCGAGTGTTGCACCGAGGGTGTACCAATTACTGTCCAACCTAAAATTATAGTAATGAACATTTGAATATATATCAAACAATAGATTAAAGAATTTAAGGAAAAACAAAACTCAATTTGAGGAATTTGAACTCATTAATCTTCTATTTTTGATTAATCCTCTATTTTGATTTCCAAGAATGCCCAAAAGAAGGTTGCTACTAGCCTCCTAAAGCTCTCCTCCAAAGCTCCCTCTCAATTCTGAATTTGGATGGGTATTTATAGGATTTTAGAGACCCTAATTAGGATAGAAGTGGGACATGTGCCCAAAATAATAAATTAAACACAAATTTTGTGAAAATCACGTAAGGGGTCAACACCTTCGACAAGGTATCGATACCTTCCGTTCACCATGTCAGGTTTTTGGCCTTCTAAGCAATTTCTGTTAATGGTGAAATGACAATCCTAATCCTTGACTTCTAGATTTTGCACAAGTTAATCTTCATGTTTCTGATCTTTGCAATTTGCTCTTAAAAATTATGATTTTTTCAAATTAAATCCTTTCTTATACAAAAAATGAAAATTATGTAAAATCAAATAAAATCTCATAAAATTCATCCAAATATCAATCATATCAAGACAAAGATTTCACATTAATATCTAGGTTAAAACCCCATTTTGGTCCCTCAACTATTGTACGAACCCTTGATTTGGTCCTTGAACTAAAAAAATCTCTGATTTGGTCCATACTTTTTACCATTTTGACCCCGATTTAGTCCTTCTGTTAAAAATTGACTTATGTGTCCCATTACCTGACGGAAAAAGATGACAGCATGGCAAAAACAACAATGATATGGCAAAAAAAACAATGACATGGCAAAAAAAACCTTAAAATATTTCCTTTCCCCTTTTTTTTTTTCTTCCTTTGATTTTCCCTTTTTCCCTTTTGTCTTCTTCCTTTCCTTTCGCCTTCTGCAAACCCTAACAACTTCTAACATTAAACCAAAAAATAATACAAATCTAGAATCTCCCCAAACCATCACCGCCCTAAATTCTTTCTTTCAACCTCCCCAAAAAAACTCAGAAATATCTAGGCATATTTTTCCAAAATTCAAACTTCTAAACATA